AGATGTGTTTGGGCCCTAGCGTTGCTCTCTGGAATTGAACTGCGTTGAGAACATCTCATCCTGGAGCCTTACCAGTCCCGCGTGCCATCCAGGAGATGTGCCGTGGCCCTTCCGCGGTCCCGTCCACCAGGGATAAGCAAACCAGGAAGCTGAATAAGGCTGATCGTGGCCTCCACCCCACGACGGGTGAAGCCTTAGACGGCTAACTTGTTCTTGGCGGTGGTGTTGGCCCTATCCTGAGGGCATGTGCCGCCCACGCTCGTCTCACTCCTTTCCTGGCGCCGAAATTCGTGACATGTTCGTTGCGTCTTGAATTGGGGTGCGATTTATTCTCTCCGGGCTGACCGCCAGCTCGGTTTGCTGGCATGTGCTCGTAGGGGGTTGGGTCAAAGTTGCCCGGCGTTTTCCCCTGTCGTGCCATGCCCGTGCTGTTTCTTCTATAGCCTGCTGCTGTTCGGTCACACGGACGGCATGTAGTCGGCGCCCACCTCCTCCTCCTCCTCCTTTTCCTTTCCTCGCCTCCGCGCGCCTCCCCCAGGAACCTCCTCTTGCTCGTCCTCCTCTTCTTCCTCTTGCTCCTCCTCCTCTTGCTCCTCCTCCTCCTCCCTTTTCCTCCTCCTCCTCCTTTTCCTCCTCGTCCTCCCTCCTCCTCCTTCTCCTTCCGCCTCCCTCGTCCTCCTGCTCCTCCTCCTCCTCCTCGTCCTCCCTCCTCCTCCTCCTGCTCCCTCTGCCTCTCTCCTCCTCCTCCTCCTCCTCCTCCTCCTCCTCCTCCTCCTCCTTCTCCTCTCCTCCTCCTCCTCCTCCTCCTCCTCCTCCTCCTCCTCCTCCTCCTCCTCTCCTCCTCCTCTGCTCCTCCTGCTCCCTCCCTCCTCCTCCCTCCTCCTCCCCTCCCCCCTTCCCCGCCCCCGCGCGCCTCGCCCCCAAAGAGCTGCCTCCCTCCAGGACCCCCGGAGGCCGCGGGGCCCGCCCCGCCTGCCCCCGCCGCCCCCCCCCCCCCTCCGCGCTTCCGTCGGGCCTGCCCCCCTACAGGCTGGGTAGTCGAAGGTCGGACTGTCAGACTGGATTGGGCCCCAAGGGCCAATCTGGCCCGGCCAAGCTGGAGGATTGGGGTTATTCGCCACACTGGATTCGCGTTGGCTCCCTCGTCAGATTGCCCCCGATTGCTAGAGTGGGCCTGCCAGATTGGCGCCAGATTGGCTTCGATCACCCAGACTTATGTCGGGCCTGCCCCCCATACAGGGGGATTTTCAACGAAAAACAAACAATACCCCCAAAATAATCAAAAACAAATCCCAAATAGTCGGGGGAGTATTTGTCGTTTAGTTTTTTTTGTCACCCTACAGGGGGATCTTCGACGAAAAATGAACAATACCCCCAAAATAATTGAAACAAACAATATGGTCGGGGGAGTATTTTTTTGAGTATCTGTTTGGCCATTTGGGGGCATTTTTTTCGAGTGTGTTTCATTTGTCGCCCAAGTTCCTCCTGTAGGGGGACATGCCCGACATAACACCCTGCACGGCCGTGCCGCGCCCGCCAGCCCGGCCCCTCGAGGCAGGCCGTGGATCGTCAAGGGGAGAAAAAACGCACAGACACAATTAATCGTCGATCCGCAAGAACATATGGGAAACTATGGGAAGTGGGGGGGAAGACAAAGACCCCAAAAATATGGGAAAATATTTGGCTCCTTCAGATAGGCGTTCAAGAGACGTGGATCAATGCAAACGGGGGTCAGCCAGGGCACCAGATCCTGCAGGATCCTGCGAAGGCCCCCTCTGACTGACCCGGGTCAGCGAGCCGCTCGTGGCCGCGAGGCAGCTGCGCATGTTGGCTGGCCCGGGTTTTTTGTCGAAGACCCGCGTTGCAGTTTTTTTTTTTTTTTTTTTCAGAATTGTAGTTGTTCGGTTTCCTGCTGACCCGGATCTGGATCGACCCGGGTCAGGAGATCCCCGAATGGATCCCTGGGCTTATGATGTTCCAACCCACTGTCGCCTCGATCGCCAGGAGGAATGTCGAGCACCAGGGAGGTACAGAAGTTGTGGGCTTTTCCCGCGTCGGGCCCTGGGAGGCGGCGCTTGTCCGACACTCTTTCGATACGTGCCTGCGCGCTCGACGACGAGAGTCAGGGCACGACTCTTGTTCGTGCCCTCCCATCTTCTTGGACCCTGTGTCTGAGCCACTTTTTTGGGGGGGTCGTCCAGAGTCCGCCTGTGGGGGGACATGCTCGCCCTGAATCCAGGAGCGGCCTCGCCCCGGGCCTCGGACACCGCCCCTCTGGGGGCCTCCTTCGGGCGCCGACCCGGACGCCGGCTGGTCGGCGACCTCGTGGGCCGCCCCCGCCTCGATCTCGGCCCGCGGCACGGGCGGAGGGGGAACAGCACAGAGGGACCGCGGAGGCGGAGCGACCACGAGAAGCACCGTCCGGGTCGATCCGTGGAGCCTCCCAAAGGCCGCTCAGGAGCTCACGCAGGAGGAGGAGGAGGAGGAGGAGGAGGAGGAGGAGGAGGAGGAGGAGGAGGAGGAGGAGTGTGGAGGAGGAGGGCGGAGGAGGAGCAGGAGGAGGAGGAGGAGGAGGAGGATGGCGGAGGAGGACGGCCGAGGAGGAGGAGGAGGAGGACGACGAGAAGGAGGAGGAGGAGGAAGAGTCCCTGCGGACCCCTGGAGGCCCCCCGAGAGGGCCAGGAACGTCCAAGCGACTTCTGTCCTCGTTCCTCCTCGATCCTCCCCAGCTCTGATCCTCGATCCTCTGCGATCGTCGGCCACCCATCCTCGACCATCCTCCATAATCTTCGGCCACCATCGGTCCCAGACCTCAGTTGTCGTGATTTGGATTGCAGCTTGGACCCTCGGCGGACTCGACCCACCCCTCGGGACGGGCGTTTCCCGAGCTTGTGCTCGACGGGCGATGGGCCAGGGAAGGGCCTCCAGTCTCGAACGTGGCTGAAGCATTCCGTCGCGTTGTTTCACGACGCGAGGGGAAGTGGGAAGAAGGGGTTGAGAGGTCCAGCAGCTCACATCTCAAACATGACACCACCGTCTTTGACATCGGTTGATGTCCTTGGGTATTATGCGATGCCACCCCCTCGCTGGCAATACGGCTGAATAGATGTTACAGGGAGTTTTTGGCTATATTTCAGCGTGCGCCTTTGTGCCTCCCTTATCCTCCTGCTCCTCCCCCTCCTCGTCCTGCTCCTTCTCCGTCTCCTCCTCCTCTTCCCTTCTTTGTCATCGGCGCGCGATCGCCCGTGTTTGTGCCCGGTGCTCTTGGATGCACCGTGTTTCAATTCCTCGCGATGTCTTCTCTTAGTTTTGAGCCTACCGCCGCACATTGACCCTTCATATACGCCATCGTTCGCAGGATAACTCACCTAGGTGGATGGACGCTTTCTTTGAACGGCGTTTAAAGTAGCTCAGTGGCTGCTCGCTTACCTCGCAGAGCGTGTCATCGTGCTGACAAAAAAAACATCATCTTGAACATGACACCAAGCGCGACTCCGCCGGGTGTCTTGTCAGCCCAGGCAAGCAGCGATGCTTCAGTGAGCGAAGTAAGGGCTACTGGACCTCTCAACCCCTTCCCCTACTGGTTCCTCCTCATCATCCTCCTTCTCCATCTCCTCCTCCTCCTCCTACCCCTCCTCTTCCTCCTCCTCCTCCTCCCCCTCCTTCTCCTCACCCTCCCCTTCCCTGGGTCTTGCTACGAAGAAGAGAGTCTCTTCGCAAGGGTGCCTGTGGTCCTGGCGCTCCCCCGGCAGCAGCTGGCGAGCCTGGGATCCCCGCCTCCTCCTGGCCCCAACGCCGCGCCTCAGACGTCACTCTTTCCCTGTGTCGCTCTGTTCGTGTAGCCGACGAATTTTCTGGTCCTGGGTATGCCACAGGCTTCCAGAGGCCCAGGATAGTCAAGGGCTCCCAGGAGGGCGCGAAGTTATTCGCGCTTCGCGCTTCGCCGTCCTCCTTCCTCCTCCCCCTCCTCCTCGTCCTCCTCTTCTCCCCCTTGGGGGGCGGCGCGAGAGCGCGAAGTTATTCGCGCTTCGCGCAGCGCGAAGCGCGAACTTAGGAGCCCTTGGATAGTCTAGGCCTCCCAGGTGGGGTCAGAGCAGATCGTGTCGGAGCCTCGCGCAGCATCGCCGATGCATCGGAGGTGCTGCTTGGGATGTGATGTGACGTCGTCGATGCATCGCCGACGTCGACGACACGTCGCCAGGGCATCGCTGCATCGTCGGCGAGGCACCAGCGATGCGTCGCGGCTTTTCGACCCCATCTACTCGGACCCCATTTCGGAGGCCTCGGTGGGCCAGTTCAACTCCGCGGCGAGCGAGGGGGGAACCGAGAAGGAGAAGGCCTTCTCAGAAGGCGGCGGGCTCCTCAGAAGCTCTCGCGCCTTCTGAGAAGTTCTGTTTCTGTCTTCGGGGAAGGCTTAGGAAACTATTCGGTATGCTGGGGGACTTCGGAGCCTTCTGAGAAGGCCTTCTCCTTCTCATTCCCCCCTCTCGCTCGCCGCCGATCCACATAAAGATTGCCTCGTCGGGCCCATGTTCCACCGCCACTACCATAGGTGGGAGAGGGAGGGTGAGGAGGATCGGAAACTGGAACGTATACATTACCAGTGGCGGGCTGTTTCAATCCCAGGATTTCTTGAGGGTCGAGGACGACGCTGGGGTGGTGTGGTGTATAATTTGTTCCCCGATGTCCCGGGGAAACAACGCAAAGTGTATACACCAGGGTCCCGTATACACCAGGATCCGCTCCCCAGTGCAAATTCTGGTGCAGGGCCGGACGAGGCGTCGGTGTACAGAGTTCGATTCCCTAGGAGGAGGAGGAGGAGGAGGAGGAGGAGGAGGAGGAGGAGGAGGAGGGGGAGGGGGAGGAGGAGAAGTGGGAGGAGGAGGAAGAGGAGGAGGAGGGGACCCCTCATCCCTGAATTCCCCGTCCTGCGCGCGGCGGCGCTGGCGGACTCTGCGCGCCCTTCGGGCCCTCGCCCGCCCGGGGGGCCGGCCGCCGAGGCGCGCGCGGCGCTCGAGAGCCTGGGCCGGGAGCAGCGCGCCGCGGCGCTGCAGCTGCGGGGGCTCGAGGACCTAAGACGACGCGAAGATCGGGACAAAATCGCATCGGGATAACTCGAAATCTCCGAGAATCGGCGGGTTTGGAGGATGTATTGGGCGCCGCGGCCGCTCCAGAGCGTTCCGGAACGCTCTGAGAGCGCTCCGGAACGCTCTGGAGCGATTTATCCCGATCCTAGCCCTGTTTTAGAGGCGGCGCGATCATAGGAGGAGGAGGAGGAGGAGGAGGAGGAGGAGGAGGAAGAGGAGGAGGAGGAGGAGGAGGAGGAGGAGGGGCGATTTATCCCGAGCCCAGCCCTGTTGTAGAGGACCTCGTGGAGCGGGCCACGCAGTGCGCCCTGCGCGCCGTGGAGCGCGCGGAGGAGGTGGCGGAGGTCGCCCCTGGGGGGCCGGCCAGGGCTCCCAGAGATCCACCGCACTGAACAATCACAGCGTCTGTTCTTTCGTCTCTCTCTCTCTCTCTATATATATATATATCTCTCTGTATATATATATGTATATGTGTATATATATATATATATGTATGTATGTATATGTGTATATATATATATGTATGTGTACATAGACATTTAGATGTGTATATGTATGTAGGTAGGTAGGTAGGCAGGTAGATATGTAGGCAGGTAGGCAGGTCGGTAGGTATGTAGGTATCTAGGTATGTATGGCTATAGCTGTGTGTGCTATGCAGGTATGTAGGTATGTACGGCTATAGCTGTGTATATATATATGTATGCATAGATATCTATATGTATATATATATGTATGTGTATGTATATGTATATATATATATATATATATATATCTCCGTAGGGGCTTCGCCCCCTGCCGCGGGCCCCCTCTCTCGGATATGGGGCAACGCAGGAGCGTCGTCAGGAGGCTTTGGCGCCGCCGTGGAGCAGCGTCGGGACTTCGCGCGAAGACGATATGCAATCGGCAAGACACGCTGAGACTCTGGTCATATGGTTGAATTCGGTGTTGCATTTCGAGATTGCTCGCGTAGGCTGTGCAAGAAGCCTTTCTACGAAGTATTGGAATGTTGCAAGTCTCAATGATTCACCCTGACACCGGCGATCTGCGTGAGGGGTGCCACCGAATTTCAGAAATGTGGCCAATCCCATTAGTTGTTGATCTCTGACCCCGCCGATCTGTGAGGGGTGCCGCCGAATTTCAGAAATGTGGCAAATCCCATGGGTTCTTCGACCGTGACTCCGCCGATCTGTTTAAGGAATGCCGCCGAGTTTCAGAAATGTGGTGAATCCCATGGGTTCTTCGACCCTGACTCCGCCGATCTGCGTGAGGGGTGCCGCCGAATTTCAGAAATGTGGTGAATCCCATGGGTTCTTCGACCCTGACTCCACCGATCTGCGTGAGGGGTGCTGCCGATTTTCAGATATGCGGCAAATCGCATGGGTTATTCGACCCTGACTCGCCCGATCTGCGTGCGGGGTGCTACCGAATTTCAGAAATGTGGCAAATCCCATTGGTTTTCCGACCCTGAACCCTTCGATCTGTGTGAGGGGTGTTAACTTCGACCCCCCCAGAAATTCTGAGAACCCTCCCAGGAGGCGCAAGGTATGCTGGTTTTCGGCTCCCCCCCCCCCTCGCGCGGTCTACAACAACGAACAGTAAGCTGCATGCAGCAATGCTGCAACAGCGGCAACTGGAAACTGGAACTGGCGCAGGGAGCAGCAAACCCTGGTCCTGCAGCCTGGTGGCCCCGCAAGGGGGCTGGCGGATACAGAGAGAGAGAGAGGATACATACATATACATACATACACACTTTCGTGTATATATATAATTTTACTTTCGTGTACATACTTTCGTATATACATAATTTTACTTTCGTGTATATACATACTTATGTATATAATATGTACATACTTTCGTGTATATATATAATTTTATATTTATATATAGAATACAAAGGAAGCGGCCTCTAGGGGCCCTCGCCGGACCCCAGGACCGTCAACAAAAGACGGCTCAGGATGGAAACAGAGCTGGTCCTGGGGAACGGATGGAGTTCTCTGGGGACCGCGGATTGACAAAAAAAAAAAACGCGACGTCAGAGCTCTCAGAGTTCGATGATGAGGTTGATCTCAGAGGCCGGAGAGGTACCGACAGCTTTGCGCTGCCTTCGCCGTTGCGCCTTTTCGGGGATCTCTGGGCGGCTCTCGTGATCACGGCTGGACTCGCGTCACGATGCTGGTCGGAGCGCACCCCGAGAGAGGTCTTGTGTTTAGTGGCACTGTTACCCTTATAGTTTTCCACCACTGTTTTATCCGCCGTTTGGGAAGCCAACCTCCTTGGATCTTCGGAAACGGTGCATACGGATTGTCAAAATGCTGGTCAGAGCGCACCCCGAGAGAGGTCTGGTGACTAGCGGCACCGTTACCCCTATAGTATTCCAGCAATTCTGTATTCACCGCTTGGAAAGCCAACCTTCTTGGACCTTGGGAGGCGGTGCGTACGGATTGCGAAGGCCTTACGGCTGGTGTCGCCGACCGTGAAGGGAGACGACGATGACGACGAAGACGACGACGACGACGACGTCGACGACAACGACGCCGACCCTGAAGGGAGACGACGACGACGACGACGAGGACGACGAAGACGAAGACGACGACGATGACGACGTCGACGACGACGACGACAACGACGACGACGACGACAACGGCAGCTGCAACGACGACGACACCGACGTGGGCCAGAGTCGTCAAGGATGCTTCTTGGGGTCTTTTCGAGAGTTTCTCGGGGGCCTATGTGGAGGAATTTGAGGGCCTCTTGGGAGCCTCTTGGGGGCCTGTTGGGAGCCTCTTGGGGGCCTCTTCGGACTTCCTGGGGACCTCTTGTGGGCCTCTTGGGGCCTGTTGGGAACCCTTTGGAGCTTCCTGGGTGCCACTTGGGTCCGAGAGCTCGAAATGTCCGTTCGGGTCCCCCGTGCCGTCTTGGGGGCCTCTTGGGCCGTCTTGGCGGCGTTTTGGGCTGTCTTGGGGGCCTCTTGGGCTGTTTAGGGGCAAAGAAGGATACGCTTTCCCCTGCGAACAACTATCGGTAAGTTCCGCGCACGAGCTTCTCCACCTTAGATGTTGCTTATGCACGGTTTATACTCTGGGCCAACACTAGGGAGGGAAATGCTCAATGGGGATAGCATCGACCCCCAATCGCCCATTCGTCGCCGATAGGGGCCTGATAACCCGACCCGCCCAGGAGCGTGCGGTTTTCAGCCGGGGGCTTACCGCCGATCTATCGGCGATGTATCGCCGATTCCAGGTCGACGTCACCCCCCTCCGAGCCAGTCTCCACTTCGAAGGAGAGAAGACGGCATAACAGTACACTTCAGAGGTCCACGTGGGCATCTTGCATCGCCACTAGAAACCCCTCCCTGGCACGCGGAACGCGCCAGGGGCGGCGCCAGAGGCGCCGCCAAGGGGTCCAGCGCCGATCCGAGAAATCCGCGCGGACCTCCGAGGGTATGGTGCAAGGGCTCCCCCGAGGGCGCGAAGTTATTCGCGCTTCGCGCTTCGCGGTCCTCGTTCCTTCTCCCCCTCCTCCTCGTCCTCCTTTTCTCCCTTTGGGGGGGCGGCGCGAGAGCGCGAAGTTATTCGCGCTTCGCGGAGCGCGAAGCGCGAAGTTGGGAGCCCTTGTCGCTGTGGTGGTCGTGCTGCCCACCCATCCCGGGGGACCAAAGAGGGCCCTGTGCTCAGAGGGAGGCCACGGGGAGGCCACGGGGGGTCCTGCCCAGTCCTCCTCTCCGGGCCGGACGACAGGGTAGGATAGAGGCAGGGGCGGCTACAAACTCTACTGCATGCAGCTGGTTTCGGCCCCGCCGCCAGGCCCCATTCCTGGATGCATAGGCGCCTCCCGGCGTCAGGAACAAAACCTTTTTCGTTGGCTGGTTCTCCACTCTGCCCTGTGCTATCCTACCCTTCCGCCCACCCTTGATCCGCCCGGGGGCCCTCGTGCTGAGGAAGAGGATGAGCAGTAGTGCGCAGCTGGTGAGCAGTGAAAGTACCTAGTCACGAGGGGGAGGAGGAGGAGGAGGAGGAGGAGGAGGAGGAGGAGGAGGAGGAGGAGGAGGAGGAGGGAGGAGGAGGAGGAGGAGGAGGGGAGGAGGAGGGGGGGGAGGGGGGAGGAGGAGGAGGGGGAGGGGGGAGGGGAGGGGGGGGAGAGGGAGAGGGGGGGAGGGGGGGGGGGTGGAGGAGGAGGAGGAGGAGGAGGAGGAGGAGGAGGCTCCCCCCTGTTTTTTTCTGCCCGGGACGAAGGACGGGACACACAACCTGGGCCCGCTGTGTGGACAGATTCGCGGCGCGGGCCGCATTTTTTTGTCGGGGGGGGCACGCGTCGGGTTTCCCGCCGCCTCCGAGGGCGCGTGCCGCGCGAGGGCGGCCCGCACAGGGCACAGGCGTGGCGTGACATCGCCATGCCTTCTCGCGTGAGGCCCGTCGTTTCGACTTTTTGTATGTGTTTGCTTAGATTTGTTATGTTTTGCTGTTCTTGTGGTTTGGCCGCCCTTGGTAAAGAGTGAGAGGCGGCGATGCTGTCAACTCGGTGGACGAGAAGGTGCCCGAATCCCAATGTTTTTTTTTTTTTTTTTTGTCATTTTGGCCCATCTGCTGGCTCCCAAAGGGGGCCCCTTCAGGGCCCTGCTTCTTCACCTCTCTTCTGGGTCACCCTCTATGGCCACCCGCCCGATCTGCTTTCCTCAGGAGGGGAGAAAACACACAGACACAAGTAATCGTCGATTCCCAGGAAAGTACAGGAAACTACGGGAAGGGGGGGAAGACAGAAACCGAGAAAGTATGTGAAAAGACTGGGTATCCTGTTATTGCTACGGTCTTACGTCCAGTGCCGCCGACCCATCATACCTCGGCCCTCGAGGGTGACGGGATGCGTGATAAGACGTCGGAGGTAAATGAAGACGTGGCGAAGGAGGAGGCGGAGGA